TGTTCTGGAGGGGCAACCAAGCCTACCCTCCTCTCAGGGACTCTGGAACATTTCCTGTGCTTGCAGGTTAGCATTCCACCCTTAAAAGCAAAATGTCGCTGGGCTGTCCCCAGGCTGGGGTGTCTCCATGCTAGGGTGTCTCCAGCCTGGGGTCTGGAAGGGACGGACTCCTGTTTCCAGCTTGGAGTTCAGCTCACATTTGGCTGTTTCCATTCTTCTCTCCTCTCATTCCCACTCTAACCGTATCTGGGACCTTATTTTGTTTTTTCTCTGCTCTAAAAATAACTCAGCCAGGAGTTTAGACCAATAAGAGACATGACAGTGCTTAAGGTTGGCAGGATAAATTTATGTCTCATCTTGTGGTAGTTTCATGGCGTCAAAAATAAGAAAAATTGGCCAAGCTGCTGTTCTTGCTTGCCCTCCCTCACACACACAAACATCCATGCGCTGAAGGCCGAGTGGCACTCCACCGGCACAGAATCGCTCCCTGAAAAAGTACATTGAGGTTGTGTTAAGCTGCCACTGTGTCCAAAGTTTTATGATTTAACCAATTTCCCCTGAATGCTAGGTCAAAACTATTACACACACACACATATATTTAAATAAAGTATCGGCTTTCTTTATTTGAAAGGCAGGAAAAGAGAGAGAGGGATCTCCTACCACTGAGTCACTCCCCAAATGCCTACAACAGCGGGGCTGGGACAGGCCAAAGCCGGGAGGCCAGAGCTCCACTGCGCAGGCGTCCTGCCACCCTGACCATTTGATCAGCTGCTGCCTCCTGGGGTGCTCAGTAGCGGACAGCAGGAACGGAGCGTGGAGCTCGGACTCGACTCCAGCCCAGCAAGGGATGCAAGCATCACCGCTGCCTCAGCCTCTCAAAGGGCACTAGTTGCGCCTTGCACAAAGCACGTAACCTGTGCAGGCGTTCTGAGGAGCGAACTCTGAGCATTCTGGAGAATCAAGGACGCTACCTCTTCCGCCCGCTAGGCTTCGAGTCTCACCCACCTGCCCAAGACTTACCACCTTCCTGCTCACGTTCAAACCTTAACCACAAGTCACAGTGGCGCTCACTCAGTGGGCTTCTTCGGCAAAACCACTCCGCTCCTTGGATTCTCTTTCTCGTGATACTCTCAGCTGAAATCTGGATTCCTTCATCACTCGTTTCATTGTTCTTCGCTCTCAGCCAAAGCTTCTGCCGTTGTGGGAAGGTGGAGATTGTGCGCTGTCATGGCGGCAAGGACAGCCCTACGCGCACCGGAAGCTCGCAAACACGGATCAGGCATTGCGGTGCAGTGGGGTAAGCCACCGATGGAGACGCTCCCACCATATCTCAGGATGTCTGTGCTTCGGTCCAGCTTCCTGCCCGTGAGCCTTCCAGCCACCGCCACCGTGTGGGAGACACAAAGGGAGTTTCTGTCCCCTGCCATCAAACAGCCCCATCCATTGCAGGCACTGGGGGGAGTGAACCAGTGGATGAAAGTTCTTTTTTTTTTTTTTTTTTAGTTTTTTATTGTTGCTTACATTGTATTATGTAGTACAATTTTATAGGCGCTGGGGATTCCCCCCACCCCTTCCATACCCCTCCCCCCATGGTGGATTCCTCCACCTTGTTGCATAACCATAGTTCAAGTTCAGTTGAACTCAAAAAATTGAAATCAAAAAATTGTAAGTAACCTCCGGTTACTTCAAATACAGCAAGCATATTTTTAGAAAGTTGGAAAATGGGCTGAATAATAATTAAAAAATTAAATACATCCAACGCTAGCCTCTATTAACTATGGCATATTGCCTAATTCCTCTCTCTCTCTCTCTCCTTCTCTGCATACGCATGTACAAATACTTGTGCATTTTGTGCTAAAAGGCTTTTTCATGTCAATAACACTGCTTCCCTCCCCTCCATATTAGTGGCATTCTGATTCATCCAAAGCAGATCCGTCAGAGTGTGCCATGGTGTTGCTATGTCACTCGGGCTCACTGCCAGGCTGCCCAGTCCCTGTTTGCTTTCTCTGACGTTACGAAATGGGCCAGCCCAGTTGGCCCGCAGGAAGCTTCCTTTCTGGGATATGTGCGGCTGCTGTCTCCAGCTCCAGCATTTTGGAGAGTGTCGGCATTGTCTCTTTCTTTCATTCTTTTTGAAAGTGAGGCCCTGTGCAGAACAAAGAGCACCTGTCTGCAGACTGGGGCAGCTGCCAGGGACCAACCACTGAAGGGTTGCTGATGGGCAGCTGGCCTTGAATGCAGTCACCGGCTGCAAGCTGACTCCATACAGCCATGCAAAGAGCCACTGCGGGACTCCAATGAAGACAGTGACAAGGATGGAGCTTTCAAAAAACTATCCTTGGGGTTGACGTGGGGGCTCAACAGGGTAATATTCCACCTGCAGCGCCTGCATCCCATAGGGATACCAGTTCATATCCTGGCTACTCTACTGCTGAGTCAGCTCCAAGTTTACAGCCTGGAAAAGCAACAAAGGATGGCTTAAGTCCTTGATCCCCCCCGCACCCATGCAGGAGACCCGGAAAGAGCTCCTGGCTCCTGGCTTTAGATTGGCACAGTTCTGGCTGTTGTGGCCACTTGGGAAGTGAGCCAGCAAATGGTCCTGTCTCTCCTCCTCTCTGCAAATCTGCCTTTCCAATAAAAATAAAGAAATCTTAATAATAATAATAATAATAAAGTTAAAATCAGTCTCAGATGTAAGTTTGGGTTTTTGCCTTTTTGGTTTTGTTTAAAGACAGAACTCCTAGGCACTACTTCACTCAAATGTCCACAGATATCCCTGGGTCAGGTGGGTAATTCCATATATGCCTACAACACGTGTGGCAAAATGCAGTGACCTGAGCCATTGGCACTACCTGCCAGTAGCAGCCTTAGCCACAGGGTGGAGTCAGGGGGCAGAGCTAGAAGCCCAGTCTGTCACCCGCACAGGAGACCTAGATAAAGCGCCTGGCTCTTGGCTTCAGCCTGGCTCAGCTCTGCCTCTTACAGACATGTGGGAATAAATGAGAAGATGGACGAGGTGTATGTGTCTGTGGCTCTGCCTTCCACATAGATTAAAATAAATAAATGAAAATGAGTACAAATGTAAGGATCAGGGATGTTGGCCGAAGAGTCTGTTTTAGTGATGAGGTGATGTTCCATGGAGTCAAAGCGTCACAGTCTCAATATACACCCCTGACATCTCATTTCCTTGTACTTTGTATTTTCTTAATCACTTTTTTGTAAAGTTTTTATGTATTTATTTTTAAAGATTTTTGCATTTATTTTTATTGAAAAGGCAGATTTACCAAGAAAGGCAGAAACATAAAAATCTCCCATCCGCTGGTTCACTCCCCAAGTGGTCGCAACAGCTGGAGCTGGTACGGCAGGTGGAGGCTTAACGCATTACACCACAGCAATGGTCCATCTTTATCTTTTTTAACATGTTTTTAAAAAGTTTATCTATTTATTGGAAAGCCAAATTTACAGAGAGAAGGAGAAACAAAGAGATCTTCCATCTGCTGATGCACTCCCCAAGCAGCTGCAGTAGTTGGAGCTGAGCTGATCCGAAGCCAGGAGCCAGGAACATCTTGTGGGTCTCCCACACGGATGCAGGGTCCCAAGCCTTTGTGCCGTCCTCGACTGCTTTCCTAGGCCACAGGCAGGGACCTGGAAGGGAAGTGGAGCTGCCGGGAAACTAATTGGCACCCATATAGAATCCTGGCACATGCAAAGCTCCTGGCTTCAGATTAACTCAGCTCCAGCCATTGTAGCCACTTAGGAAGTGAAGCAGTAGACAGAAGAACTTTCTCTGTGTCTCTCCTCCTCTCTGTAAATCTAAATTTTCAATAAAAAGAAATACATTGTTAAAAAAAAGTCCATCAAGCTATAGAGCATATTCCTCACCTCATCGGCTTACACTTTGGAAGTGAGTACACTTGAAATCTGTCTTCAGGGCCAGCATTGTGGCACAGTGGGTTAAGCCTCTGCAACACCAGCATGCCATTCCAGACCCAGCCCCTGCTCATGTGCCTGGGAAGGCAGCAGAAGATGGCCCACGTGCTTGGGCCCTGCTGACCACGTGGGAGACCAGGATAGAATTTCTGACTTCTGGTGCTGGCCTGGCCCAACCTGAACTATTCCAGACATTTGGGGAGTGAACCAGGGGATGGAAGAACTTCTCTTTCACCTCTCCTCTCTATATCAGCTTAAAAATAAATAGGGCCCGGCGCCATGGACTAGCGGCTAAAGTCCTTGCCTTGAACGCACCAAGATCCCATATGGGCATCAGTTCTTATCCCGGCAGCTCCACTCCCCATCCAGCTCCCTGCTTGTGGCCTGGGAAAACAGTCGAGGATGGCCCAAAGCCTTGGGACCCTGAACCTGCGTGGGAGACCTGGAAGAAGTTCCTGATTCCTGGCTTCGGATCGGCACAGCACCGGTCACTGCGCTCACTTGGGGAGTGAATCAACGGATGAAAATCTTCCTCTCTGTCTCTCCTCTCTGTATATCTGGCTTTTCAATAAAAATAAAATGAATCTTTAAAAATAAATAAATAAATAGATCTTTAAAAAAAAGAAAAACCCTATTCTTGCAGCTGCAGCAATTTTGAAATGTACAATATATTATTTATGGGGTCATCATGTGATGTGATAAATTATAACCTTTCTACCTCCAGTCCCAGTGGCGCTTTCTCCCTTTTGATCAATTTTCTTGAGGTTGGAAAAACCTCCCTTGCCCTCACATGATGATCTAATCTGTATGTTTATAAACATTCCTTCCTCATGGACCCACTTTTATTGGTCACTGGGCCCACTGCCAGGCACCCACAGCACTTCCAGGGGCCTACAAAACAGGTTAATTTTATATTACAATCAGAAGAAAAAAGCGAAGTCTAGGTTAAAGAAACAATTTTAATATTTAATAGAAAATACATATTCTCTTTTTATTCTAATGCAGCTGTAGAATTTTTCCCCCCTTTTTAATGGAGGAAGGAACCTCACAAAAGTCAGAGTTCAGCTTTGTGTCAAGTTAACTTACTTAGTTGGAAACACATGGATCAAATCTAGTCGTGCCCGTGGAAAGTGAATGGAAGCAAAGTGAGGAATCCCGGTGAGTCAAACATTCAGATGGTGTCCCGGTGCCAGACGGGCTTCCATTTTGAGCTGTGACTGAGGGGAGAGGAGAACCATTCGCCCACAGCCCTGTCCGCAAGAATGGGAACTTCTGCATGTTCTGACCTGGGTGGAGCTGTGCCCTGCCTTCATCAAGAGAACGAAATAAAATACAGATTTCTCATTTTTTATTTCTGGGTTGTTTTTTTTTTTTTTTTTTGGTTGATTGACACCTTTGTTACTCCCACACGATTTGCCTTAGCATCCATTTTTGGCATAAATAAACACGTAAATCCAGAACCCAAAAGACAGGCCTAGCTGGACAGATGCGGCACCTTCAAAGCCCCAAGTGTCTGGACTTCCTTGAAACAAAGATGGAGGATGAGTTTCCAGCACCTAGTTCCCGGGACGCCGGGCGGGCGGGGTGCAGAAGATGGAAGGGGAGACGGTGGGGCGCCGGCTGCTGGCCCGGCCCTTGAGTGCAGGTGACCCGGCTCGGTAATCACCTGCCTCCCGCTGGGCTCGGCAACGCGGCGGATTACACGATCGTGGTATATTGTTTCCTTCCAGGGCTCGGGCGATCTATCACTCGGGCGCCTTGTCTGTATCTTAACAAACAACGTGATCCGAAAAGCTTCCTCCTTCCGGGAACGCAAAACAAATTACATAAGACACATGTTGTTCAAGAGGGGTGAAAAATAAAAAGGCCACCTGAAGGTGTAACGACTGGGGAGAACGCCTATGCACGGCAGAATAAATATCTGAAAAAAAAAAAAAAAAAACCCAGCTCGTCAGAGAAGCCAGGCGGCTTCCCCGCCTTGTCTAATTTGCAACAGCGGAGTTCCTGGCTGAGGGCAGGAGCAGGACTCCCCGGGGTCAGGAGCAGTGATGGCGTGCTGAGCCCTTGGAGGGTATGGCTCGCACTGCGGGAATTTTCAGCCGTCCTTGAAAAGCCCCCGCAGGTCTGCTTTCAGCAGCTTTGCTGTGGGTGACGTTACACTGATGACTTAGCGAAGCCTCACCTTTGACCGAGACCTGGGACACACAGAGCCCACGGCCTCAGAGATCATTAACACACCGAGGGAGGGAGAGAAGTTACAGGAAGTCTGAGGTTTGTCAGTTGTCGAGATGTTTGATAGGGTCTTGGGAGAGCTCTCTTTGGGATGACGCGAAGAAGCAGCAGCAGGACAGCCAGGCCGGGGGTGGGTCACCCTGGGCAGCGCGCCCATCCCAAGCTGCCTCGGCTCGCTGTCAGGAAGTCGGTGTGCCTGGGTCCTGTTCATGGAGACCGAGGGCCACTTTCTTCCTGACTTCTGTATGCCCTTAGTCAGCACTTATTTACTTTTGAATTAAATAGACTTTATTTTTAGAGCAAATTCAAGAGGGCACCAGGTTGCCCTGCACGCTCTTCTCCTCCACCCCCACCGCGCACAGCTGCCCTGACTGGTGACATCTGGCGTTACCACGATGCGCCGATGGGAACCAAGTCATGGCAGCTGCCAGTGTGTGCCTGACGGTTGCAGGGGCATGCGCAGCCTCTTACCAAGCCCGTCCCTTGTCCTAAAAAGCCCCCTGTCTTGTTAGAACAAGCTGCCATTCTGAATTCTGCATTTCCAACAGAACTGCTAATTGTTTGAAACCTGTTTTTCCTCCCCCACGGGGTGTTTTATTTTAGTAGCAGATAACTGATTCTCACACAGTCACTTTTTGGCTGCAACCTGGTTATCCCTGGAAGCTCTCCCAGTGAAATACCAAAACCTGCCTTGGCCAAACAGCCAGGAGGAAGCCGGTTCCTCTGCAGTGACGGGTGGCCAGCAAGGCCCTGGCCGGGGAGTGCCCGCCTGCCCCGCCCTGCCCCGGTGGCATCTTGTTTCCCTGCTGCAGGCCCTTGCTTGGAAGGCATCTTGCTTGGAAGCCAAGTGCCCAAATTCAGCACTGTTCCGTGTTGTCTTGCTCGGGGAAGAGGCAGTGTCAGACCCCCACACCCCTCTGCTCTGGCATTTAGTGATGGCCAAGCCCAGAGCCAAAGTTCCACACACACAGAGGCTGAGTGATGGAGGGCTAGGCCTCAGGGCCGACAACGCCAAATGAATTCATTCATTCCTTCAGAAAATTATTCACCAGGCACGTGAGGCTGACCACGCGTCAGGTTGGGCTCAGAAACAAGACCAGACCCTGTCCTCAGGGAGCCACGAGGCTCGCCCAAGACCAAGACAGGTGAGTCACCAGGCTGAGGGGACCCAAGGATGCAGGAGAGGCAAGGGTTGATGCCTGGGCCAATCAGGGTTTTCTGTTCTCAGGCTTGCGAGCCCAGCACAGCTTACAAACCGGGCGCGGGGTATTCCCTGCAGGTGTTCCTGGGAGAGCCACAGTGCCCGCAGGAAAGTGGAGGACGGTGGCCAAGACAGGCCTGGAGCCAGAGGAAATCCGTAAGCAGCAGCACTGCCACCTGTGCCCCCCTCTACAGAAGGCCTCTAAGAAAGCCGGAGCGCGTCGCCCCCTCGGCTGGCAGCCGCGTGCCTCTCGAGGCGGCTAGCCAAGTGGCTCACAATGCAGGGGGCTGAATCTGGCCCCTCCTGGCTCTCGCGCTCCTCTGTTCCGCTCCAGTCACAATGAGCCCCTTGTCTTGCCAAGAACGTATCACGCACGCACGGCGCCGCCTCCGGGCCTTCCCATGGGAGGCGGCACATTATTCTAAGACTTGCTCTCCAAGTAGCAAAAGAGAAAAAAAAAATCAGAAACAAATAAAGCAAGAAAGTAATAAAAACAGCAACAATAAAAAAGAACCAGATAGCCAGCTGCCTCACCTATTTCAGACTGCCTGTGAAATAGCACCTTAGGACAAGAGCTGCTCCGGAAAGCATTTCAAAGCCAGAGTATGAGGACTTCAGGGTCTGTGTGCACAGGTTTCTGTCGAGACACACAACTAGGTGCGAACAAAAATACACACGCGCACACTGAATTGACATTTTTACTAAAAATGTTATATATATATATTATATTTATATATAGTAAATATTATATTATATATAATATATAACTATATTATAGTTTATCATATATTATAGTTATATATATATATATTTACTTGTTTAAAAGTCGAAGAGAAAGAGAGACCTTCACCTGCTGGTTCAGTTCCCAAATGGCCGCAATGGCTAGGGACCTGAAACTCCATCCGGTCTCCCACACACTGGCAGCAACTCAGGATCCCTCAGTTACTGACTGCCCCAGGTGCGTCAGCTGGGAGCTGGCTCGCAAGAGGGGCAGCACAGCAGAAATGGGCACTCGGGCATGGGATGCTGGGAACAAAAGCAGCACGTTAATCCACTGTCCCACAACACTAGCCTCCTCGTCTAGCCTGGCACAGTAGTCTAGCAGCTAAAGTCCTTGCCTTAAAAGCGCCAGGATCTCATATGGGGTTTGGTTCTAATCCTGGCTGTCCCGCTTCCCATCCAGCTCCCTGCTTGTGGCCCAGGAAAGCAATAGAGGGCAGACCAAAGCCTTGGTCTCCCACATGGGTCAGAAGGGACAAAGCACTTGAGCCCTCACGTGCTCCCTCCCGTAGGGCATAGCAGGAAACTGAACCTGAACTGCAGTGGCCAGGACTTGAACCCTGAAACAGCACACGTGGGTCCCAAGTGGACGCTCAACTTGCTATATCACAACACCGTCCCCAGGGAGAAATTTTGGAAAGAGAAGCTTGATAGAGTCCTCATCTTCTGGATAGTGACTACCCATCATGACACCGATGTGTAAGGATATATTTGCTTATTTGAAAGACAGTTATGTGGTGGAGGGTGGTGTTGGTAAGAGACCTTCTGTCCATCGCCTCATTCCCCAAGCACCTGCCGGGACCCAGACTGAGTCAAAACAAAGCCAGATGCCTGCAGTTCCACCAGGGTCTCCCACATGGGTGCAGCTTCACAAGCACTCACGTCAGCAAGGAGCTGAACAGTAAATGGAACAGCCAGCTCTTGGTGCTCACACGGGATACTGGTTACTCGGGACAAGGCTTAGCCCACTACGCTTCAGTACTAGCCCCACACAAGTACTGTTACTAGTTTTTAAGTGGAAGATAAACTGCCCTTTCGGGAAATGCGCAGCCAAATCCGTGTTACCGGTCTCTCAGAGGAAGGCTGGCCAGAACCATTTCCATTTTTTGTGATGTTCACATGTCAAACTGACCTGCAAAGACGCAGTCCACGACCAAATCCAACAGCCACGATCCTCCTTCCTCAGCACATGGCCTCGCAGACGAAAGACTTCATTTCCCAGCCTCCCCCAAATGATTACCTTCTGAGCCGTGGTTGGTCAGGAGCGAGCAGTGCACGTGACTTCCTCCGGATGTCTCTAAAAAGGCTCGCCTCTTCTTCCGCTTTGCTGGAATGTGTTCCGCCAGCCGGGCCGAGCAGCCCCATGGGCTCACGGGACGTGGCGCAGGAGCTCCGTGAACATGGAGGCGCAGTCACAAGGTAAGGAGAGCCCGGGGATAACCTCGCGGAGGAGCAGGCCGAGCCAGCACCTGTGACATCAGCATCTCAGATGAGAATCAGTGCGGGTCCTGGCTGATCCACTTCTGATCCAACTCCCTCCTACTGTGCCTGGGGAAGCAGCGGAGAAGACGGGCCAAGTCCCTCGCAAGGGAAAAGCAGATGCATTTCGGGCTCCTAGTTTCAGCTTGGCCCAGCTCCAGCCGTGAGCCAGGGGATGGAAGATATCTCTCTCCTCCCTCCCACCTTTTAAATAAACGCACAGTGGCCAGCACAGTGGTACAGCAAGCTGGTCCTCCACCTGCGGCATCAGCATTCCATATGGGTGCCGGTTCCAGTTCTGGTAGCTCCATTTCCGTTCCAGCTTGCTGCTAATGCACCTGGGAAAGCAGCAAAGGCTGGCCCAAGTGCTTGGACCTGCACCCACTCGGGAGACCTGGAAGAAGCTTTAACTCCCAGCTTCCGGTCAGACCAGCGATGGCCATGTCAACCAGCTGGGGACTGATTTACCAGATGGAAGTTCTCTCTGTGTGTCTCTCCCTCTCTGCGTAAAATTTAAAAATATTTTTTGTAATATTTTTATTAGAAAGTTATCTATACAGAGAGGAAGATCTTCCTCTACTGATTCACTCCCCAAGTGACTGCAACAGCCTGAGTGGCGCCGATCCCAAGTCAGAAGCCAGGAGCTTCTTCTGGGTCTCCCACGTGGCTGCAGGGTCCCAAGGCCTTCGGCTGTCCTCGACTGCTTTCCCAGGTCACAAATAGGGAGCTGGATGGGAAGTCGTGCTGCTAGGATTAGAACCACCGCCCATATGGGATCCTGGCACATTCAAGGTGAGGACTTTAGCCACTAGGCTAATGCGCCGGGCCCAAAAAATCTTTTAAAATAAGCAAATACATCTTTTTTAAAGGCCAGTTCCTGTTATGATGGTGTAAAAGGGTGTTACACAACCTTAAATTGGCTACCTTCTCCTTTATTTTTCAAGAGTGCAAAATTAACCCTTAGTTCATTTTTTTTTATGTTATTCACAACCTATACCAATCCTAATATAAAGGCTAAATTTTTTTTTCCAATTCCTAACATTGTTTGGGAGCTTACATTCTTGGCAGTAAAGGCAAACTGTTTTGTGAATGATCCATATAAGATTTTTTATTCAAGGAGAATCAAGATGGCCCAGTAGGGTAAGGACACGTTTAAACAGAGAAATATTGACCAGTGTGAAGCAGAGAGGGCACATTCCAGGAAATAGGAGAGGACAGAGCAACAGCAGAGGGGTACCTGGAGACCGACAGACACAGGAAAGCAGCGGACACAACGGAGTGGTGTTGCAGTAACTGATACTCCAGCGGCAATCAGCTAACTGCCATCCAAACTCCACCAGCAAAAAGGTGGGAAGGGACGTTTACCAGGCGCTCGGGAGGTGAACCCAGCCAAAGAACCGCCCGTCCTGCTGGACCGTTGGCTTTGCCCAGGAGCAGAAACAGAGCAGCAGATCCCAGATGGGCAGTGTGAGAACAGGGTGGCTTTCACAGCCCAGTCAGCACCCTAGAGCCGAATTGGGTGCCATTTTGCATAAGGAGGCAAAGGCAAGGGGAAGGACTGAGCATACACTGAGCCGGGAGTGAACTCATTTCTGACTCAGTGAACTGCAGCAACGTGGAATCCTACGGTTCCGCCCAAGACAGGTCCGAGTAGGCCTCAGACCTGCTGGCCAGCAGATCAAGAACTGTAGTAATAGCACATCAGGCACCATTTCTTACAGTGTGACAAAGAATTTAAGACTGCACGGGACAACAGTGAGCTGTGCATGCGCAGAACTTGGTGAGAACTCACCAAGCTCAATGCATTGCGCTGGTCCCACAGGTCAAAATAGGTCCGTGTAGCCCTCAGACCTAATGTCCAACAAGTTCTGACAAGATCAGGACCAACAACAACCTGGCTATTTAGGACTCCTGGTGTCTCCCTAATCCTGGGACCTATTCCAACCAGTGGAGACTGGTGAGCCAGGAGCTTGAGGCTACGGAGACCTTGGTGGAAGTCTAACGTAAGAACCCAGACCTGGGACTCGCTGGAGGGAGTGGAACAACTGACCGCAAACAAAGAGCCATGTACCAAGTGCAATAAGTAAAACCAAAGTGCAGCCCTGTGGGTGACACAGCTTAGAAACCTGCCCAAGGAGAAGACTCTCATAACCAGAAATAAAATGACCAAGGGCAAAAGAAGAGACAGAGACACGATGAATATTACTGAAGACTCCCCTGTAAAGGAGCAGAACCCTTTGCCAACTTCAGAGTTCACTGAGGCAGACATCGAGAAAATGGGGGATACAAAATTTAAAACACTTGTTATAAAACTTCTTATCAACAATGAGAAGCATGTAAAGCAGGCATTCAAGGAATTCAAGGAATATGTCACACTGGAAATGAATCAAATGAAAGCTGATATATCAGAAGTGAAGAATAGAGTGGAGCAAATTAAAAGTACAGAGGAGGGCCCGGCGCGGTGGCGCAGTGGTTAAGGTCCTCACCTTGCACGCCCGGGATCCCATATGGGCGCCGGTTCTATCCCAGCAGCCCCGCTTCCCTTCCAGCTCCCTGCTTGTGGCCTGGTCTCTCCTCCACTCTGTATATTTGACATTCCAATAAATAAATAAATCTTTTTTAAAAATTTGACTCTACCAAACCTGCCCTACAAATGATACTTCAAGATGATCTCTTGACAGAGAAGAGGAATAGCACCCAACAAAACCAAAGGCAAACGGGAAGAACATCCCAGTAAAATGACCACGGAAGACTAAATCAATGAACAACCCATTCCTAAAATGGCAGGACCAAATTACCACCCATACATATCAACCCTGAATGTAAATGGCTTAAGCTCAATCAAAGGTCATAGATTAGTAGACTGGATTTCAAAACAAAACCCATCTATTTGTTGTCTAGAAGAGACACATGTCACCAACAAAAATCAGCAGAAACTGTATCTCATGAATTATGATGTTTTTGTTTTTGTTAGTTTCATCTCTTCAAAACAGTTTCTTCTGATTACACTATTCACTGACTCATAGATCATACGGGAGCATCATTTTCTTCAAGAAGGTTCTTGATTTTCTTTTTTATTTCTTCAGTAACACATTAGTCATTCAACAGCACGTTATTTAACTTCATGGTGTTCTTTTTTTCTTCCTGTTGTTGATTTTGTAATGTGGCTTTTCATTTAAGGGGATGCATAGTTAACTGTGTAATGGAGACTGTCATACCCAGATGTGAGGATACAATGCAGCATGCATCTCTACTTCCAGACAAAGATGGACTCCCAATGAAACTGTTAACTGTATCTTGACAATAGGATGCTGGACTCTCTGCCATTGTCTATGCCCACAATGATGGACATATGACTGTGTATGAAGAACTATACCATAGTAATAATACAGGAGAACTCAGTGAGGGAGGAGAGAATTGGGGGAGGGGAATGAGAGAAATCCCAGGGCCTGTGAACCTGTATCATAAAATGAAAATAATGAAAAGAAGTAAAATTAAAAAAAAATTTTTTTCATTCAAATTGAGAGAAAGATACATGAAATATAAGAGCATTGACAATGATCAAAGCCTAGTACAGCTTGCCACATACTGCGTGCTTTGTTCTGAGTGCTTTGCATCCATTAACTCCGTCTTCACAGCAATATTGAGATTTAGGGATGTACCGTTGCATTTGCCATTGAGAAAACAGAAATACAGAGAGGTTAAGTGACTTTCCCAAGATCACACAGCCTGTAAGCTGTAGAGATAAAACAGAAAAAAAGCATGGATTAGGAGGTCTCGGGGGAGTAAACCGGATAATGGCAGCCAGCAAATAAATCAAGATTTTGAACTACGACCTCTATCTGGTGGTTGCTACAGGCCGGGCTCCTTGCAAGTGAAGTGGAGTGCGCGTTGGCCTACATTCCAGTGGATATCAAAAATGAACAGGCTGTGACTCAGAGGTCGGGCTGCCATGCTGTATATAAAGGAGACACATTCTCAGAATGGAGACGCTAGGGTTGAGCAGAGGCCCAGCCAGGGCCCTGCGGTCAGACGTACATGCTGAAAGAAGCCACAGGTTTTTGGAGAAAAACACATACACAGACACAGCCAAGATTCCTGGCTTCTTTGGGAAGCAAGAATGGGATGCTTGCACCTGTTCGACCTGCATTTCATATGGCAGCAGTTGGCACAGATGACCATGCTGTCCCCGCAGACTGGGTGTTCCCAGAGCTAACCAGGCCCCAGCTCTGGCCAGCCTTCTGAGGGTGTGGCTACAGGAGGGGCCTGGCAGGACCTACCCCGTCCACCACAGTCAGTAGGTGCTGTAACTACAGAGCAGAGGATCAATGAGAATTACACCGATCACAGGTTTTTAAAAATATAGATTTATTTGCATTTAATTAAATGTAGAGACAGAGAACACACCCATCCATTGGCTCTTCAAACAGCCACAGCAGGCAGGGTAGGTCCAGGCCCACACCAGGAGTCTCCCATGAGGGTGACAGGGATCCAAGGACCTAAGGCTTCTCCTGCTACCAGCCAACTGTATTAGCAGTCAAGTTAGCCAGGACTGGGCCTGGCATTCTGATAAGGGAATTGACTGTCCCAAGCAGCAGCTTAACTTGCTATGTTCCCATAGTAACATTTTAATTCTCCCTTCCCCTTCTACTCTCCAAAGCAGTCTATCTTTGAAATATAAATATATATATATATATATATATATTTATATTGAAAAGGCAAATTTACAGAGAGAAGGAGAAACAAAGAGCTCCTCCATTCGCTGGTTTACTCCTGAGCTGATCCGAAGCCAGGAGCCAGGAGCTTCCTCCAGATCTCCCACGCGGGTCCAGGGTCCCAAGGCTTTGGGCTGTCCTCTTTCACTTTCCCAGCCACAAGCAGGGAGCTGGATGGGAAACGGAGCATCCAGAACATGAACCGATGCCCTAATAGGATCCCAGTTCCCACAAGGCAAGTATTAGCCACCAAGCCATTGTGCCAGACCCAGACC